GAGGGAGGAAGGGAGGGAGGGAGGGAGGGAGGACTAGCGGTTTGCAGAATTGGTCCCCTGCTAAAGAGAAGGGAGAAACTAAGAGCACTAGTCACCTTCACTCTCACTTCTTTTGTCTGGGCTACTGAGAAGGTGCTGCAGTTATCCAACTGATATTTCCATTACAGGGCCTGAAACTCAGGACCCAGAAAGGGGCAAGGAAGGAGTTCTCTGCAATGGGAAGATGGATCCACAATGTCTAAACACCTGAGCTTTGGAATGTTAACTAAGTCATCACTAAGAACACAGAAGTTCAGAACTTCTTTCAAACCACTACAGAATCCTGGTGCAACAGTGCCCTTAGAGTATATTCACTGATTTCTGTGAGAATGAAACTAGATATCAATGAACCTCTTTAAGTTAGATCAAGATCCAGCTTAGCAAGCCATTGTTAATATTAATAATTTATCCATCTTTCCAAAGCATTTCAAAAGATATTTGGAAGAGGTAAGAATGGCAATCTAGAAGCACTTCTCAGCACTCAACAAATGTTAGAGAACTCTCACAATACAAGATAAACTGTTTCCCATTTCACTCTGTGATCAAGAGTAGTTTTGTTAGAAACTTGCTAAAGATGTTAACACTAAATATTTTAGCTATCGATGATTACCAGCATCCTTACTCCTCTTATTATCATATATAAAAAAGCATAAATCAGTTTCTCAAAGCAATGAAGTTACCTTTAAAACAAATTACATATGAATACAGCTGGGCAGTCTAAATTAGATTTTGGCTTCTGGGTTTTTCAGGTAAGTGATTGCTATTCCTCAACTGATGGTTAAAAAACTCTCATTTTTAAAAGAAAATCTGTAACTGACAAGTACTTTTAATAAATACGTACATATGCACCCACAGCTGGAAGCAAAGACCAGAATCTAATTAACTGTTTGCATTATGGACAACACTTCCATGTAAGACATATTTCATATTTTCTTTCTTTTTTAATTAGTTACCCACTATGAGCAACTCTGCTAGAGAGCTGCTCTAGAGAGCACTGTATCTTTCCAGGGTGGTTTTTAGCGTAAAGAAAGGAGATTAAAAACTTCTGGAAAAAAATGGTGAGCCACGTAAATCTTCAAACTGTTATACTATTCATGATTACTCAGGAAATTCCACTAAATTCAGTGGCATCTACTCTCAGGTATATGTGCACATCAATTTGCCCTCCTAAGCTGAGACATATTTCTCTTAATCAAAACAAATCCTTCCCTATTTTTAGCAGAATAAAATATGTACGTTTCAAAAACAACATACAGTATCTTGACTACTACTAGCCCACAATCATTTTCCTTATAAGTTATAATTAAATTCTAACCTACAGTGGCAAAAATTATTGCATTCCCTTTCATTTACAAGTATTTGTCTGATGTGAACCATATAAGGTGCATTTATGTGGATGTATGTAAATGTGGGGATTTCTCAGAAACTACCTTTGAAATTCTTTACACAGTAAAATCCAGCTTTATTCAAACATAAAACCCATTGGGTTTAATGAGGCTCTCGCCACAGAAAGAGGGTTCATAGACTGAAATCTTAGTTTCAAATAAGTTTATCGGAAGAATGCTACTGTGAAAGGAACAGGTCTAGAGTTACCTTGGGTGAAGCAAATTGGGTGAGACTGAGGATCGCAGCCATTATTGATTAAAGTTTGGGATCCCTAGCTGCTTCAAAAACCATTTAGCCAACAGCCAGCTTGGTTCCAGATCATATAAAACAGAGATTACTGTATTGCTTCAAACTGGTAGAATTCAATATTGCAAACCAGCTGCATTTTGAGTCTCCCTTTACACACTGCCTCCCAAAAATACTTTCTTAGAGCCAGACAACCTTGAGAGCAATAATCTACATTGTAAAAAAGGCCAAAGGCCAAATATTATATGAGTAGATTTATATTGAGTCTGTTTTGCTTAACCATGATTTATCACTAAATCACAACTCTCTGAGATCATGCATTAGGGTAAAAAAACAATGGTTTGCAAGCCATAATGACAAGTTCATGTAGTATGCTAAAACGAAACCAAGTAAATCATACTATGGCTTAGTTCAGTGTATGAATCCAGTAAGTAACTGCACAGAACAGTTAAGCGTATAACTGCACGAATCTTGGAAGACACTATCTACCAAAACAATGTCATTTCAGCGGCTATGATAAACACTAGTTTCAACTAAGTGATTGCTTAACAGTAAGATTAATTACATTTTAACAGCTTCCAGACAATATAAAACTGGAAATTTAGAACATATATTGCTAACTCCATATACTTTGCAAATAAAGATTTGCTATGAAGATTTTGCTACATAGATCTTATATTGATACAAATGCATGCTTTTCAGACTAGTCAAAATAATGTTTATTGGGCTGAAAAATGGCCTATCTGTGTAGTTTTTAATCAATATATGGTTTTTCTTTATACATTTTTATCAATGTATGTATTCCTGCAGAAGGTTTACATAGGCAAAATGATATTCCCAGTGTCTGGAATATCTATCCAGTGCCTTCTTTAACAATATATATTTCTAGAGATCTAAGAATTACATAAGGAATTTAAGATTGCAGCATCCATGATTTTATGAACCTTCCTAGCTAGCTTACCTTGTTAGAGCTTGGAAGCTAAGCAGAATCAGCTCTGGTTGGAAAGATAATTCCAGGACTGTAGGCTAGACCAGGAAGTTGAGAAAACATCTCAGAAGAAGGCAGTGGAAAGCTACTTCCATACTGTTGCCAAGAAAGCAAGATGGTTGGGTCCATGAAGTCACCAAGAGTCAAGTTCAACTCGAAGGAGATTTTTCTTATTGATCTTTCCTTAACTCTGAGTTCCACAACAATATTAGAACTAGGATAAGGAATGTAGGTTGCTTACTATCAAACTAACTTGTTAGAGGTTTCCCCCAAAGTCTTTTCTATGTCTCATTTGCCTTTCTGACCAGGTACTGTTTCTATTGGATTCATTAGTATTTCCACTTGAATTAAATTGTGCAGATGACTTCACCTGATTATCAGAATGGTATGATCCCTAGAAACTCAGTAATTAATAGCTAAAGGAAAATCATCACTGTAGTTAAATGTTAGTTATTAAAACACAATTTATTACAGCTGTAGAAACTGTTGGGGTATATTGGAAAGAAGGTCAATCAGAGAAGGGGTTCTCATAAAACTGGAAAGTGTGTAGCAACATGCACACACATACATATGCACACACACACACACACACACACACTTTTACAGCTAATATTCAATTGCTCATATACATAAAATACAGCTAATAGTCACTGATTTTCTCTGTTAAAATAATATTATTCCTTTTATCATTAGTAACCCAAGGTGAAATAACTTCCATGAATGTTATAACTGCTGAGAATATATTCTTCCAACAGGGTCAGCTCATGTGCATTAGCCCAACTTTAGATGCTAAAAGTGACTATAGATTTTGTTCAGCAGTGAAACGTGGAAGGGAACCAAGGGCCCCTAATTGCATTTTCTTCCAATTTTCTACCACAACAAAATCACAGTTCATGTTTAGATGGTGAAAAGCCCTATATGCATGACAGTTGTGAATTATTTACCACTGTGTGATTGTCGGTAAGGGCAATAAGAGGTAACGGTAAGTTCAGAGAAAGAATGTCAAATGCAGACAGAATAAAAAGGTCTGCATTTATTTTAAATAATGCAAATTATCTAATGATACTAATGCTGCTACTTCCAGGATTTTTTTTCAAATCCAAACACTTTAATTTTTAATCATTTTTATGGACTCCAAAGCTTGTGGTCACCTCCTTTAAAAACGGAATGTACTGTAGAAGTAGTTTGGTGTCACCTATGCCAAATGCTTTCAACTTTCACCCTTACAAAATACTGCTCATTATGCATTCCAGAAAGTCATCATAAAGGATACCTGCCTCTACTTCTGAACTGCTTAGTTTATATAAAATTAGAAATAAAACAACACCAGGGCATATCTCAAAGGAATTTGTGTAAATGAACCCTTAAATCTCAGTTTGGATGCTTTTTTTAAGGGTTCATTTACACAAATTCCCTTGTTTAACTCAAATAAGTGGCATCTTAAAGACATCCTTTTCAACGCCTGGGTGTAAAAGCGTTTAAAATTACAATGGGCAGCCAGAACAATGAAGGCTTAAGCAGAGATTAAGTGTGGGATAATCTCCTGCAAAATAAAGTTTCCATATATTAAAATCATTTCTTCATTTTCATTTCATTAGCTTCCACTTTTCCTTTTGTTTGCCTTCCAGTTAAGAACTGAACAGTCCTCTCCTGGTGTCTCAAATGTAGGGAAGTGCCTGTGAATGCTGTATGCGCGTAGTGGGGCCATATGATAATATTAGCCAGCAATTAGACTTCCTATTGCGTGAAACATCCCCAAGGATGGCAGGTGCTGCTTTTCTATCTAGAGTCTATAATTTATTGCCACTATATCATGGATCAAAAGCTTCCAGAAATGTTTTCAGCTAGAAGCAGAGATTGGGAAAACAAAGCCACCCAAGGCAGTTACCTGTGCTTCATGTCTGGGTCAGAGATGGGAACCAACAAAGAAAGAAAAAATCAATTGGCTGTTCTCTGTGAAAGTAAGGACTGAGAACCAGCCTCAGTTAACTCTGGATTTTATACAACAAATCATCCTCACCTTGAAATGGGCTCAGGTAATACAAGGCTGCCTGTTGTGACACTGTCAAACAGCACCGGATTCCACACCTGTGAATATTACACTGGGGCATGATATTGCAAAAGTCTGTTCTCACTTTGCTTCAGAAGAGCTATTATGATAAGAATCCAGTCAGTACAGATTTGAACAGGGAGCTGAATCCAAATCAGCTCCCCCAGATGCTTCCTGGTTTTAAAACAAAGCCTTTAAACCAGGGAGCTAAATGATACCCTTTATACAATTCCGTTTCCTCTATCCCCTATAATTTCCCTACTAACTTATCTGCTCTTCCTGCCAAAGCAGACCACCATGAAGTCTCACCTGAAGCCCCAAAGGACATATTTTCTACTTATGCCATCTAGATTTTAAACCATAAAATTCCTTCCATATCAGTAAGTGGCATATTTTTTTTTTTTTTTAAAGACAGCTGCTTCAGTACCTAACCCCATCATTTTATTTTTGGCAACTGTCCAATATAAAAAATAAACCCCCTTTTTCTTAAAAAAAAAAAAAATACTTTAGGAGGTTGAAATCCCATACTGAAATATCAAGATGAATTTTCTTTCGAGTGCAGAACAGAACGCCCAGCCTCAGCTTATTCTGCTAGATCTTGCTGCAAAGAGCCCAGGTGCCCAAGAAAAACAGAGTAATCCAAGGGAAGTCAACTGTTTTTCCTGCTGCTGACCTTAGCCTTCAGCCAACGTTTCCGTTCCACAAAGCCGCTGCTTTTTAAATCAGACTCGGAGCCGACGGCACGGACAACTTTCAAATTAAATAAGGTCATTCAGTGTATAGTAAAAAGGCTAAGTTTGGCCCCCAAGCCCTGGAACCGGGGGGGGGATCCACACATCCCAGTCCCCACCACTTTATACTGCAACAACAAGGGTTGGAGGGCAGAATGTGCAACTGTACCTTCTTGGCTAGGTTCGGGATCAGGTGTGAGAGAGATGTCATCCAGCTCTCTCAAACACAGCCATTCTCCATCCATGGACACTCGGAATTTGCAAAGATAGATGGTTTCCATGGCAGCCTGTGTGATCTTGTCTGTGGTGGGAGTTGGCGTATCGCTTTGAGGCGTCAGAGCAGACATGATGACTCAGCTGATACAACAATAAAGCAAATTTGAAAAAAATAAAATCAAACCAAATCATAAAAAGGAAAAATCTTCCCGTCGAAGAGAAAAAAAAATCAAATACCTTGCTGGCGCAGGAAAGATTTGCTCGAGATCAGACAATGCACTACTTTGAGGAAAGCAAGGCACAGGGGAAGGGGGGAAGATGCCCCTTCTCAGCTGTTTCCCGTTCTCGGCTTTCTTCTGCAACGCTGCACACCCGCGCACGCACACTCGATTTGGCTAGGAGCTATTATTCCTAAAGAACCACCTCAAGCAAG